TGGTGCGCTCCAGGAGGCTCTGGTTGACGCTCTTCTCCAGGTGGACGGCGCATGCGATGGCCTGCAGCCCGCCCTCCCAGTCGTCGCTGTCTGCCTTCTTGACGTCGTAGAGGCAGACGCGGCCCCCGCGCTGGTTCTGCAGGCGCATCAGCTTCTCCGCGCGCTCCCTCTCCTGGTGTGACCGGCGCAGGAAGTAGCGGGAGAAGTGCTTCAGGGCCACGTCGTCGCGGTCGAAGTAGAAGGCCATGGAGAGGTACACGTAGGAGGCGTGGAGCTCCAGGTTGATGTGGCTGTTGACCGCGGCCTCACAGGCCGGGTGGTAGTTGAGGCGCACCTGCGAGACCGCCGCGATGGCGGGCAGCGAGGGCGCGGGGAGCATGGAGAACGCTGAGGCGCCTCGGGAGCGCGGGCTGGACAGGGCAGCGGCCGGGGAGGCCTTAGGGCGATCTCGGGGTCGGCGAGGGCGGTGGGCGTCGAAGGGTGGGCTCCAGGCGGTTGGCAGGTTAATGGCGGCACTTCTGCCCAGGGACCGGAAGTGGGCCTGGGGGCCGTTATGGTGTGGGGGTATTTATGGGGGCAGGGGAGGGGCCGGGGAGCACGAGGCAGAGTTCCGTGTGCAACCTGGGTGACTCGGCACTGTCTGGCCTCTGTTGAATGTTTAGTTTTCCAATAACATTGCTAGTGTCCAGAGACTTTCTCTTATCCTCTAAATTCTTCTCCTCTTTAACAGCCTGCTCTCATTTTATAAATCTATTGTCTTCCTTAAAATGTTAACGGTACAAATTTGTATCTTTTGGTAAAGTCTCCTCTGTTTCCTGTGTTTTATCTTCCCTTCCCTCAAGAATTACTTCTTTCATTCCTCATGATCCTCTTTCAGCATCACAGTTGATCTAGGATCCTCTGCAGTCGTTTGATTTCATTGACTATGTTCTTGTACTTTGAGTGTGCTTAGCTTTCTACAGAAGGTGTTTATATTCTCTGGATTTTTCAATCTGAAAATGTTCTCCATTTCTATCCTCCAAGCATTCTTCACATTTTCTGGTTTGTTAACTGTATCCTTTCTATTAATAGTTTGTGTGTATGTAGATAATTCTTTGTGTCTAGTCTAACACCATGATTCAATTATTTTTTTTTTACTTTTTAGACAAATTTTTGTGTTTTTATTTTTTTATTGATACATAATGAATGTACATATTTTGGGCCCCCAAAACATGTGATAATTTGTTCCATTCATATAATCAAATTAGGGTAATTGGGATATCCATGACCTTAAATATTTATCTTTTCTTTGTGTTAGGAACATTCAAATCATTCTCTTGTAGTTATTTTGAAATCTGTAATAGATTAATGATAACTATAGTCACCCTACCAGTCTATCAAAAATACAAATACTTATTTCTTAAATAATTAATACATTTACTGTTGTTCAAAAACCACATGGTTTTTCTCTCTGCAAGCAACCAGGGGACTATTATTTATTATAATCAGTAGGAGAAAGAGGAAGAAATAATATTCATGTTAAGCAAAAATATAGTGATATAAGACAGGGAACTTTAGGAACATATTCTTTATAAGCATACTCTATTCTCCTTAAGTACATGTGGAGCATTTAACAAAATAGACTATATTCTGGGCCATACAACAACATGAGTTTAAGTGGATTCAAATCATGGAAGATACCTTCTTTGACCACAATGAAATTAAATTAGATCATTAATAGAAATAAATCATCAACGGAAAGATATCTGAAAAATCTCCAAATATTGGAGACTAATAATACACTTCTAAATAATACATAGGTGAAAGCAGAGGTCCAGGAGTATTAAAATTCTTTGGAACTAAATGTTAGCAAAGTACTAAATATCAACATTTGCGGGATTCACCTAAACCAGTGCTTAGATGGAAATTTAGAGCACTAAATGCTTATATTAGAAAAGAAGAAAGACCTCAAATCAATTATCTAACTTCCCAGGTTAAGAAACTAAAAGAGGAGAGGGTGGAGCAAGATGGCATACGAGAAACACTGCCAGAGTGTCTCTGCAGAAAAGACAGATTCTAGCAGAAATTAGAAAAAAGAAGCAAGAAGACAAGCATACAGCCGACGAGGGCCAGAAGGAGGGGTACCTGAGACCCCGGGAGACTCCACGGGAGGAGGCTGCGGAGGAGAACTGGAGGCTGAGACCACCGGAGCAGCCTCACCGCTGGCGCGGCGGCCGTCTCTGGGCTGGTGTCCCTCCAAGGTCTCCACCCACTGGGGAGCCCACCAGCAGTCCCAAATGCAGGAGAGGGGGAAACAGCAAATCCACCTACCCTTGCCGCTGGTCTCCAGG